TCGCGTTCCAGGTTGTTGCGTAGACAAGGAAGAAGACATGTCGAGCACCGGATCATGCGGTCTTACAGACACGCCGAAGAGGAACAACTACTACAACTATAATCAACAAGTACGAATCTGCTTAGACTACAAGACACTGCGCGGATGCTGGCCAGGTCCGACGAATGAGACCTAAGGCAGAACGGGACGAGTGAGTTCCGTTAGCGGTCGGTGAACATTGATTAATTAGTGTCAGTATCTCCCAACCTGAACGGGCAGGACAACGAGCTTGTGGCTCAAAGCTTAGAGCGTTAGACTCTGAGCAAAACGGTAGCGAGTTGGATCCTCGGGTTGCACACCACCTGGAATTGGGTATGACTGGTTGACAACGGCTAATAAGCCAGAAATGGCCATTTCAGTCTCCTTTGTCTTTGCCGGTAAAACTATCTACAAAAATATCTGTGCACTTGTTAAGCGCGACAGGTATGAAATAAGACTGGATCACGTAGCTAAAAAACTCCGTTCACTATAAATCATTCAACAATTGGGTTTCTATGATCAATACAAAATTTACAGGAATAAAGCCCCGAGCACAATAAGCAAAGTATTCATGGAGCATTTTTGTCGATATTCTGAAATGGCTAGCAATTGTTGTATGTTTTTGAGGACGCACCTGTAGTCTGTTTAGGCATTTCGGCTTTTGCAGGTTAGTAATACGTTCTTGAAATTCTCTTACTGTGCTCCTTAAAGTGGTCGTTTGTTTTTGCTGTAGACGATGCACAGGCAGAAGTGTCTCATTCGTCCCGGGTTCATTAAAGCTTTGGAATGGTCTGGCGGTTTCAAAATGTGGCAGAAAAGCGTAACTGCTTAGTCAGTAGGAAGAAGGCCCAGAATTACATATCCTTAGGTAAACTGAGTATGAATTATCTAGAGATCGGCGAGAAGTCTCCTGCTCATTATATTTTCCTAGAAATTCTTCAGGTTCAAAAAAATTATCAGGTAAATTAAAGGGGACCGAAAATATTGACGATTATGAAGAGGGATGCCGCAGCACATAAATAAAAAGGACGAAATTACTTGCCTAATTTGACTTGCTGAAGAATACGTCTCGTTTTCTCTGTTGTTCCTTGAGGCAACTTAACTTTATAGGTGCCCTCAATTTCGCGGGAAACCCTACGCTTTTCTGGGACAGGCAGTTCATGCCCTATGTGGGAAATAGCGAATTTTTAAGGGAATGAACCTGTGTATACCTACCTGGAAGCAATTTGGGTTTCTTAACATCCTTCTCCAAGTTTGGCGTCGTTGAAGAAACTGTAACGGTCGCTTTTAATTTACTTGGCTCCTGTAATAAGAGTCTGACTCTGCCAAGAACCTCTGACTTACTTCATGCTTTATATTTTTGAAGTGTTGAAGGATGACTATGATGTCGCCCACGGCAGTGATACCCATCTCCTTGAGAAGGTCCTTGTCCAGAAATGGAAGGAGTTTGGTTGTCATACGATTTTCCACGAACAGGTGAGCGTACTTCTGACTAATTCCATGAGGAAGTCCGGCGTCCGTGAAGATCATCGTCCAGTATGCTAAATCTGCAGGACCAAGGGCAAAAAAGTTAATAAGATGATAGCAAGACCATGAAAGACAATTTCTACTTTAGGAGGATTTGTGGAGTCCGATCGTAGATTGTTTAGCGACGCCGGCATCTACAGTGTCAAGCTCAACTGTTCACCGTGTTTCGCAACCCCACGGTACGGAAGAATCCAAAAAGTTTACTAATGCCTAGCCTTGTCGGTAGCATTCAAAAAAGTGGTTACTTTCTTTAGTTACTTAACAGTCAACCTATTCACGATGCGGAGAAGGGAAATTATGTTTGTAAAACGCAAAGAAAAGGAGAAGAAATAAAAGCTCTAGTCTGCTAGTGAATATTGAGTAAAGTCGGTTCCCGAATGCCCGTTAAACGTACTTTATAGAAAATAAATCGAGAGGGCGTGAAATAAGTTCACTGGGCTAGAATAAAGGAAGAAATTTGTGCACTAGAACTGTGTAAGATAATGGTGTAGGGTATGCAATTGAAATTGTATTTTTGAAAAACGGGCGATGGAAATGGCCCCGAGTGAGCTCTTCAGGTATCGTAACACCATCATAGATATCTCTGTGATACAAAAAGTATTTTAAAATAACTCAATCAGACGATAAAATAAACTAAAAATTACTAGTGCGTATTCCTCTGTCCCATTACTATGTGCTTAGTTGTATATAAGGACACATTTCTATATAGAGTTACGAAGTGCCCAAATATCATTACACTACACGTCCATGTCTTCAAAGATAATTAGCTTAAACATTTGAATAAAGTTGAAACTACAAATATTACGCAACGAGAGGTATAAGAGGTAAGGATAGAGTAGAACGGGGCCTCCAAAGACGGAATAAGCCTAAACGCGTATTCGCTGGCAACTTTTTACGGCAGTGTGGCTGATAGTGGAACTAGCCAGCTATACCTACTATTCTGTTGCTAATACCAACTACCCCCCAACTATTTCGCCGTACTGACTCAGGCGAAGGCCGGCCCGAAGACGACTTCCGCCATAATTAACTGGATAACCTTAAGCATACACAGCAAAAGAAGCAATAGGTCAAACGGGGTACCGGCAAAACGAAAAAACAATTACAGAACTGTTAAAATGAACAACAGGAAGCGTTTTTTGTCCTAATCAATTATGTTTAAGTGAGTAAGCCTTCGGTATCTATAGACACTTCCGGGAAAAAAAAGGCTGTATGTTAGACTTACCACTGGCTACCCGGCACGCCGAGGGGTAACGGATAGTTAAACGAACCTCGGAGAAAATTAGTGTCGAAATATGTAGG